GGCTAGAAAGCCTCAGGTACAGAAATCACATAGGTAATGATATAATTATGCATCATATTGCAATCTAGCCTGACAAAAGCCGTCTCATTGCACTGTGCTTTCATGACTGTAAATTATCATCTACGCGAGGCAGGAATATATTTGAAAGTTTTCCATCATTTCACTCTCATCTTCTCCTGTCCCCCTTTTGTTCTTGTTAATGTGCACAAATCATCTGATTATTATGGAGAACATCACAGACTATCTATAGGATTCAATGGCTTTGAAATAATAAAACAATTACAGCATACTGAATGATGTGCGGCGGTGGGAAAGCAGTAAAAATATTATGTTGATTTAGTTCATTTTAAACCTCAGCAAAAAGACAGGAAGGCGGTTTGACAGAGAGCTACTGGCACGGTAGAAGGGGATGAAATCACATACTGAGTGAGGAATTGGCTAGGGTTTCTTTTGAATTATAGGTGTATAGCTAAAACTAAATGTAGAGCAAAAACTTTTTTTTTTTAGTTTTGGACACGGTAGAGAAGGGATAAAACCCCTGCTGGATTATTTGTTTTTCTATCTGCATACCACTCGGGAAATTTCACTTCATATCCTGTCCCAGAGATGCAAGTTAAAGGAAATCTCCCAAAGTGAGGGGAATTCTCATCGTAAAACGTTTGCTCCCATTTCTATTTTCAAATAGCCTCAGTAAATCACCTGCACTACCTACAGCGTTATAAACATGGGAACATATCAGTTGGTGCTCAAAGTGACGACACGCATGGTGCAATGCCACAGTCCAATCAATGATAGAAGTCAGCAGCACTCACTTGTAATGTGCAAGAAGCATACGCACTTTTATTGATGATTATTATTATTATTATACAGGATTTATATAGCACCAACAGTTTGCACAGCGCTTTACAATATAAGGAAGACATTACAATCACAATACAGTTCAAGACAAGATGGTAAGGAGAGCCCTGCCCGTGAGGGCTTACAATCTGAAAGGGAGGGGGAAGTGATACATGAGAAGGGAGCTGTGTGGGGATGAATTGTTTGAGAAAGTGATAGTTCAATGGTTAGGTTGAGGTGGGATAGGCTTCCCTGAAGAGATGAGTCTTAACAGATCGCCTAAAGGCAGTCAGAGTGGGAGATAGACGGACAGGTTGGGGTTGAGAGTTCCATCAGATGGGAGAGACTTTAGTGAAGTCCTGGAGGCGAGCATGGGAAGAGTTGACGAGGGAGCTGGAAAGCAGAAGGTCTTTTGAAGAGAGGAGGGGACGGTTAGGGTGATGCTTTGAGACCAGGTTTGAGATATAGCCGGGGGCAGAGTTGTGGATGGCTTTGTAAGTGGTTGTTAATATTTTGAATTGTATCCTTTGGGTGATTGGAAGGGATCGGCAGAGGGGGGTTGCAGACACTGAGAATTTGGTTAGGTGAATGAGTCTAGTGGCAGCATTCATGATAGACTGAAGGGGGGATAGCCTGTGTAGTGGTAGGCCAATGTGGAGCGAGTTGCAATAGTCAAGATGAGATATAACAAGGGAGTGGCTGAGTAATTTTGCAGTTTCATTGGTGAAGAAGGGGCGTATTTTGGAGATGTTACGAAGGTGAAGGCGGCAGGATTTAGTTAGGGATTGGACATGGGGAAGAGGTGATGCGTCACATGCGGCATAGAGCCAACGTTGCGGGGCCGTGCAGGGTTCCTTCCTCAGGATGACATTGTGACAATGGTCACCAGTACAAATAGAGTGGTTAATATCCCCAACAGGAAAAAAAAACGTTCTCACTGTATCCAAAACTAAACATAATGGTTTTTGCCTAGAGATACTCTATAACTGTAAAAGAAAAAATATCCAGATACCATCATGAGGACGTTTTCTGACCTGTACTTGACATTAAAGAAAATATTGCATTTAAACTCCAAATCCAACTAAAACTGTATTCTTTGTTAGTTTGGAAAGTGTGGGGAAGGTTAATAACCCCTCCCAGGCTTTAAAGTAATATTAAAGTCAAAGGTTTTTAAAGCTACTTCAAATGCTGATTAAATCACTTACAATGGATACTCCTTTTTTAAAGCTTTAGTTTCCTGCAAAATTAACTGGTCTCCTGAGCCCCGGCCCTGATATCCTGTTTTATGGTGGCTCCTTTCCTTTGCAGGGTCCTATAGAGCCACCCTTGTGTTAGTAAGCTGTGTGTGTCCACAAATACAGCAAGACAAGACACTCACCTGTTCCCTGTTCCCCACTCCTCTCTCTTCCTTTCTCCAAGCTAGTAGATGGACAGCTTCCTGGAGATAGTGCTGCCCCTTGTGGCCTTGTACAGGACAGGAAGTTCAGGGAGGTTGAGCTGAGAGAATTGGAGCCAGCTATTTGGAAACATGATGACTGTAAGTGCTTGGGCAAAAATATAAAGATATACTTTGCTGGGCAATGTATATTTGTTTGATGTGTATTCATTATTGAAACGTTTGAGCATTTAATACTACTTTAAATGCTGTGTTCCCACTTCCTGTAGTTCCGCACAACTTTCACTTGGATAGGAAGTGAAATCTTCATTTGGATTATTACAAAATATGACAAAGGTTATAATCCTCCCTCTCTATGAAAAACATATTTGTCATTGTGGTCTATGTCCACCATTAGACATTATTCTCCTGACTTCCTGTTCTTGTGCCACCCATTGAAAAGATCGGAACGGATAGAAAATCTCCTCATCGGGGACAAAGATAGCTATTAAAACTTGACAGAGGTTATAACTCTTTTTCAACTCTATTCAAAAATATTTTAAAAACACTTGGCTGGAGTTGAGTTTGCCACTTAAATATATTGATGATTTTGCTCAACTGCACCCAGATTAACACTTGGGGGTGGTTTTCAAAAGATGCAATGAGGTAAAGGGACAGCTCTGGCACGGACTGTAACAACTGACTGATGTGTTCAAATAACTACAAAGCTAAAAGTTATATTTGAAATTTTAAGTAAAAATGAAAAATAACAACACAGAGATAAAATAGATTAAAAATTATAAATAAAATTACAGTATATTATTTCAAAGACAACCGCCAAAAATAGTGTTTAGCTTCACGTTACGTAAGCACTTTTACAATGGTGCAATTTACAAGGTAGGTTGGCGACTGCATGTACAGTAAGAGAGACAATTTGTCAGCAATGCACATTGAACACCAGCAAGAACACCTAACTTTCCCTGCCATCATTCCGTAACTACTCCATATTTGTTCCAGCACACACTGAACAAAGGCCCCTGGAAGTCCTGACTTTTATGTTGGGGATGGGGGGGGGGGGCTGCACAGAAGAAAACCCCCATGATTGGCCCTGGCAAGCCACCTATCACAGTTGAGAGGTCAAAAAGTACATGATCTGTAATGGTTGCTATAATGGCACAATTTTCTCAATACATGAATGGCTTGGGTTCAGGTTGAACCCATGGGTGACCTGAACCCAAAGCTCATCCCTACTCATCAGTCTATTGTTTCTCCTTTCACTGTCCAGTCACAGGGTGCAGAGAGAAGTGTTGCTTAACTTCAGCAGATAAAAATTCAGTCTTATGCCCTGCTAGATAGGGCTTTGCTATATAGAAGAGTCAGGGCTGCTGAAGAGCAGCGGCACAGGCTCCAGCTTCTCTTCAGATCCCCGCTGCTCTCCCCCACCTGTATGAGCAGAGGACTCTGTGTCCTCAATATAGTAAAAAAAAAATAACAAATAACAAAAAACACGCGCACAAAGACTATAAATTAATTTAGGAATAAATGGATAGAAACTAAAAATGTTTTCATTCGTTTCGTCAAACTAAACACATTTTTATGCTATTTTGGATTTGGCCACAAGCCACCAGCACATTCTAGCCATCCTGGAGGCGGAGCGCATGACGTCACATACCGCACACGTCTGTTGGGGAGCACAATTTTCTGTTCTTGCCTCAGGCGCAAAAAGAGCTAGCTACGGCTCTGATAAGAGCTATGTATATCTCAGGACTGGATACACTGGGAAACATATTTTTGTGTGTACAGTAGCTGTTTGACTGGAGTTCAGCTTTAAGGGGAACTCCAGGAATCTAAAAACTAGCCCTTGCAGTGGTGCTACCACCACACTCCAAGGGTTAATAGCTCGTTTTGTTCTAGAGGCTCAAGGGAAAAAAGCAAACTCACCGGATCCTTGGTCCTGCCTGGCTGCTAGACTGGTCCCTCTTCTACACCAGGCTCCAGCAGTCTAAACCCAGCTGATGTCATCATGTCTAATGCAGGTCCATTGACTTGCATTAGACATGAGGATGTTGATGGACTTTCCACAGCTAGAGAGAAGGAGGAAAGAGGTGATCGCTCACCACCGCAGGGCTGAGGATCAGGTGAGTATATCTTCTGTAGTCTAGACCAAAACAAGCACTTGACCCTTGCAATGCAGGGGTAGCCCCACTGAAAGGGTTATTTTTTTAAACAACTGGAGTTCTTCTATAAGAATCGATTTTAAAAATTAACCCTCAAGTAGCTGATCCTTTTAAACACAATGTCAGCACTATGGAACACACACGATACATTGCTTCTTAACATCCATTTTAATCTAGAATTTGCTTAAAAAGGATGGTAAGTTTGCATGCAGTAATACTCATCTTCATATATTTGCACTGGAAAACATTGCATGGAAATTATGACAATATGAAAATTAGGAAGCAATCGCAAATGAAATGTATTTGCATAGAATTGCTTCACATACCCATCTTAAGTGAAGTCCTAACTATTGCATGGAAGCTTCTGTTGTTAAACCGTATGTCATAACAGATTCGATTGATTGTGTTAGTTGCATGACAATTCTTTTGTACAAGGCAGTAAGTGCACATTGTATAATGTAGTTACATATCAACAGTGTATACATGATGTTATTATAATTATATGATATATATATATATTGTGCAATAGTTATAATGTTTGGTGACAGAACAATTAGCGCGCACTGCTGTTTCATGTTCTCTATTTCATTAGAAGTGTACATGTTTTCCAGACTCTGAGAATTAATGTTTGTTACTGGAAAGAGAAAACTCCCGGGAGATCCGGTCTGCTGCAAAACCTCCCAGCATTCCTTGGTGTAAATCTAAACGGAGAAGAGCATGAAGTCTATGGACTACCTTGCCAAGAATATCCAGGGTTAATTAAGGTAAAGAAGCATCACAAGAACAACCAGTTGCAGGACCAGAAATATGTGAGGGAGAACATTTTCTTTTTTCCTTGTTGTCATTCTGTAGAATGTCTGTTACATCATCCAATTCAGAAATATATTACTATCTGTAATAGAAATAGAAGGCAGCTCATTTTTCCTGTCAGGGTTATTGAAGGATTCTTGCCAACATTCAGATCTACATCAAGAAGCATGCACCACCAACAACACTTTGGCCCATCTCTCTCTCTCTTTATCTCTCTCCGTCTCTCTCTCTCCATCTCTCTCACCTCCTCTCTCCCTCTCTCTCCTCATACCTTAATGACTTGAGCATGAGCAAATGAATAAGCCTACCACAAAACTTCATTCAACTAATCTGGGCCTCCCTCCTATACATATTTTTTGCCTATGTACCTAATGTGCTGTATCCCCCATGATGAAGTCTTGAGGACTCCCCCTGACATCACCATGAGTTCCTGTCTCAACACTAGCCTTTACCTCCACCATTGATTTGTAAGACACTCCCCGCCCCCCCC